TGATTCTCCCTTAAATGGTATAAACGCTTACTTTTCTACTTATATGTCATTATACCAGTTTTTACCACTTATGTCAGTTGTTCGTTTGATTCGCCGCTTAAGGTTACAGCAAATTGAAGATATCTTTGAACATTTTGTACTTCGTATAATATTTACCGACCAACTTTTTCGATATCGAAAGCAATAACCGTTATTTTGGGAATCTGCTTCTACTAAAATATATTCTGCTGATAAGTTGTCAGCGCTTAAACAGCCGTTTTAAGATATGTGATTGAATAAACGCTTGCTTTTCTAGCTATATTTTATTATACCAGTTTATACCACTTATGCCAGTTGTTTGTTCGATTCCCCGCATACAAAATTATGGCAGATTAAAGCCAGCTATGAACATTTATTACCTAGCACAATATCCACCGACCAACTTTTTCGATATCGGAAGCAATAAAAGTTAACTTGGGACACTGCTTTTATTAAAAGATATTCTCCTGATAAGTTGTCAGCGCTTAAACAACTTTTTGGGGGACGATAGTAAACTGCGCTCGAGTAAACAGTGTAATCAATGAATCTACATATTACACATACACATACAAGCACGTATATACAATATGTATGTAAAAAAGTATGAATGTCTGGCAAACCGCATCGAATTGAATCGGCTGCGCGGCATGAAGCGAACTGCGCTTATCTACCGGCCGATATGACATTTATTAAAAATAAGACAAAAAACGCGCCGTGGCCGAACATTTCGCTGATAGCGACATCAGCAGCAACAATTGCAACAATAGCAACAATGGCAATAAAAGTAGCGAAACACAAGAACAAAGAAGGGAAAATGGAAAGCAATTGAAAAGCCAGTGGGAAAGATGTTTATGGCGGCAACGCCAAACGCAGAGCTTTTCCAGGCGGCAAGGCGCATTGCGCGCGGCTTAAGCGCAAAACAATAAAACAATAACAACAATGTAGCTGCACATAACAATATGGGCATTTCATTTCAACTCTTTTTGGTTATTTTATTTTTGGTTTTTGCTGGCATCAACTTGATTCTACTCTACGCGGAGTCTCGCGCCAAGTGTCATACACACACACATACATATAGAAGTTTGTGTGTTTGTGGAAAGTAAACATGCTGGCGAGCGTGTGTGTGTGTGTGGAGATATGCCGCATACGCGTAATAAACGAAAGCGTACAAAGTGAGCAAGTGAACAACAACAAAAAGCAACAACAAAACAAAATACATGTATGTGTGTGTGTGTGTGTGTGTGTAAACGCGAAACGCCACATTTCGAGTTCGATGATCTGTTTACGATTTTATTCGCTTTTCGTTATTATTTTCTTTTTTGAATTTTTTTTTTTTTTGTAATTCACTCTCAACCATTTCTTCCCTTTTCCTTTGTTGTTGTGCTTATCGCGCAGGCTTGTGTGTTTATACGTCAATATTTAAGTGCATGTGTGTGTGTGTTTGTGTGCTCGTAGGCTGTTGTCTCTTGATATGCTCGTTTCTTGCGCTTTTAATATTGCTGACTTTTTTGTTATTTTTGTAATTTGTTTTTTATTTTTTGTTTTTGTTGATGTTGTTCGCTGACTGCTGGAGGAGTTGGCGAGATGGCGATCCAGCGCAGGCAGGCAGCTGGCAGCAGACGCGCTAGACAAACAAACCAACAAACACATAACCGAGCGAGGCAAAGGCTGGGCGGCAGGGAGGCAGGCAGTCAACAAGTCCAATGGCTGGTAGGCGAAGCAGCAGCAGCAATCAAATAGGCATGCTGGCGGCCAGACGCCAAGCCAGCGATGCCACATCACTAGCGGCGCGCTTGAGATGAAGCTGGGTAGGGCGGTGGTAACGCGTCGCGCCAGCATATCAGCAACGCTGCACTAGGCGAAACGCCCGCAGCGTCGCGTTCGGCGCGATTTTTGTTATTACTACAAATATACATATGTAGGTATATATGTATGTATATATGAGTGTATATATATGTATATTCACATATATGTACATATGTATGTTTGTATGTGTATATTTGCTTGTAGCCTAGCGTTCTCTGCATCTTTTGCCGTTTTCAGCTTTTCATTTATGTACCAAAAACAACAGTGCACATATCAGCATGGTAGCATGCCACAAATACATGCATACATACAAAAACAACAACCTACAGCCTTGATTGCAAGTTGTGCCTCATTGCTTGCATTTTTTCCGTTCTGAAACTGCATTTCACCGCGCTGCTGCTTGTTGTATGCCACATATTTGTTGTTGTTGTTATTTTAAATGTTGTTTTTTTTTTTTAACCATTCGTGCCGCGTATCTACAGTAGCCGCAGCAGCAACAGCAGCAAGCAGCAACCAAAGCACTTAGTGGCAGTAATAATAACAACAGCAGCAACAGCAAGAAACAAAAACAAACTTACTTTCTCATTTCGTTTATTTGCGCTGCTGTTATTGTTGTTTTGTTGTTTTTTTAACTTTTGATGATTTTTCTCGTATTTGAACATCATGCGATATGGTTTTTCTGCCTTTGTTTTTGCTACTATTTGCTTGCTCATGCATATATTTTTTGCTGTTGTTGCTGTTATTGTTGTTTTCGGTTAACAGTAGCGCTGAGAAAAGCAAACAGTAAACAGTAATTTACACTTTGTACGGCACAGTATATTTTAATGATAATGCAAGGCGGCACACATGCGGGAAGTGGGGTGGCTTTGAGTTGGTACAAGCGCGCGGGGAGTTGAAATGAGCACAATAACAAGAAAAACGTAAACTTCGGCTGCACCGAGGCTAAAATAATCTTCACAGGTGCACTTCTTAAAGCACTTGGTGGATATTGTCGGAGAGCTGAGTATATTTTTGTGATGGAAAAATTTCTGAAACTGCCCACCAGGTCTTCGAAAATTCCTTCATATACTTGATACTGCCAAAGAGGTTTGGCTAAGTAGTAGCAAATCGAAAATCTGTAGAAGGTTTTAACAGGAATTTTAAATTTGAACCACTAAAAAGCGCCAGCATATAGACGCAGTAGTTACATAAATAAAATAACATTGCGGTAAAGCTAGAGCAAGAAATAAACATACTTTCAAGCCATTCAAATACCGTTCTACAGACACCCATATATGGTAGCTTGTGTTGTGCTACGCTTTCGAACCTTGATCATTATATAGTCCAAAAAGTACCTCTGATCAACAGTGGTCTACGAGATATCCCACACTTTTTCGAGCCTGTTAATCACAACTTTTTTTCGAACACGAGTATAGACATCAGAAGTCAAGTAGTTGCTACGATAAGTAGTGTGGTGAAGAAAAACTCGATATAGTGTCTAACCAAGCTAAATGAATTTGAAAGCAGTTGCTTAGAAGTGTTGAGTTTGAGGTATAGCATGAAAGAGCTCGTGTCAAATAGCGCCACTACGAACCTCTAGTATGCAGTTTACAAATTAATTGAAACTTTTGGTAAATGAACGAACACAACTCGTCACTCGTTAAGATTTAGTTTAGAGCGTTTAGACTGGAAGTTGTTGATTGTCCGGCTCAAGATTCTAGATTTAATTATACTGAGAGCTTATGTAATGAAATTCTTTGCTCATTTCATCACGGTTTACACTAAAATTTTAGCCAGTTTTTGAAATTCATTTATTTGCTTTCTAACGATTATAATGCCAAATATCTCCAATACCTTGATAGGCCAATCATCTTAGAAAGCAATAACAAATCTGAGACATCTTAATTCAATACTTCTAAAAATACCACATCTCTTCCATATTTTATCTAATTTCTCAAAATTACACCCTTATGTAAGTTTATGATTATACTTGGACCCAATTTTGATTTACATATACAAACTGATCACCCATGAAGCAGATTAGCGCTCAGCATTAGTCAAATTAATTTAAATGTAATTGCTTGTTTACTAGCACTAACGAGTACCATTACTTCAGTATTTAGTAGCTTGAACTGCATTTAGTCGAAACAACGTATGTCGGCAATAAATTTTTTACCTGAATATTGGGTCCATTTAACATAGCCTAGCTTAAATTTCAAGTAGAAATACTTGTTGGTAGCTAGTACACAGCCAAAGATCTTCACAATGGACAAGGTGAAATACATAGATATGTATGTATGCAATCGTAACATATACATATGTATGCATTTACATCGATACATATGGATTTTTGTGCTATATAAGTATCTATATAAGAGTCACTTGTATGTATGTCTATATCTGTTTATGTAAGTATGTATGTATGTAGGTCTATGACTATTTGGTCGTGCTTGATCAAGCAGAACTGTTGCTATGAAAGTTTAGAAAGAATGCCATGTATGTATGTATATATATACATATGTATATTTCATTGTATTTTACTTGTACGTATGTATGTATATAAACGATTTGCCTGAATTTCAAACAATTGCGGTCATTAACATTGAGATCAGTACGCAAATTGTTGCTTAACACACTAAAAGCAAAAAAAATAAAAATTGTTATAATTAAAAAAAAAATTTTAAATATAGAAAAAAAATTAAAAATTTTTTTTTATTATTTTATTTTTGATTTAAATAGTGTAAAAAAATATTAACAAATTTAATAACATAAAAATTAAAAAAAAATATACAAAACATAATTTTTTTTTTTATTTACAAATTTTTAAAGTTATTTGGAAAAGTTTTTACCTTTTGCAAGTATTGCAATAAGCTTTGTTAAAGCAAATCAAAATTACTTCTTTTTAAATAAGCTTATTAACGTTTTAAGTTTCTTTATAAATATATTTAATTTTATTATATTGTATTTTTTAAATGAAAATATTTAATATTTTTTAAAGTAAAAAAAAATTAAATTTAAATTTTGAAACTATAAAAAAATATATAAAAAAATTTTAAATAAAGTTGAAAACTTAAAATGAAATATAAAAAAATTTAAATTGTGCAAAAAAATATAAAAACATTAAAAAAAATGATTTTAAAAAGTTTTAACTTGTAGCATGTATTGCAACTATTTTTAAAGATTTTTTTAAAATGAGTTTATTAACATTGAGCGTCTCTACATATGTATATATGGTTGACTTTTTTTTAATTAAACATTTTATGTCTTGTAATTGGTATTAAATTTTTTTATTAAAAAATTATTTATAAAAAAAATTAAAATGAACTTTGAAATAGTAAAAAACATAAAAACAATTTAAATAAAATTTAAAAAATTAAAACACAATAAAACAAATAAAAAATATTTAAAAAATTTAAATAGTGTACAAAAACTTACAAACATTATATGAAATTGAAAATTATTTTGAAAAGTTCCTGTTTGTAGCATGTATTGCATTAACTTTTGATTAAAATTTTTTTTTATTAAAAAAATATTTTATAAAAAAAAGTTAAAGCTAAATATAAAAAAAAATAAAAAAATTTAAATAACGTTAGTTTTTTTTTTCAAAATGAAATAAAATAAACCATAAAAAACTTAAATAAATTATTTTCACTAAGCTCATTACAATTAAAAGCGCATATTTAAATTATGTATAGATATATGTTATCTCATTTTTGCCCTTGAAATTTAGTCTTTCAACATCCTAGAGTGATTTTTACAAAAATTTTGTTAAAAATATACAAACTTATTTCATAGTTTTCAGCAAACCCAACAAATATTCCAATAAGAATCCCTCTTCCAGCCGGCTAAAGCATTCGCACTCGCAGCTGAGCGTACATGTAATTGCATATAAATACTGTATACATAACACTTAATATGTACATATGTAAATAGATATGTATGCGCAAGATATTATATTAGCTTGGCTAAAATTATCCACTCACCTGCTATCGATATGTTTGCAATATAATCGTTACTTTGTTACTTTGCATCCATCAATTTCGCTTGTTGTCATCAGCACTCACACTCGTTGCTGCTCGCATCTCACTCGTAATCAGTTGTTAGTCATGCCAAAACCATCTTAGAACAACATTTAATGGACAGAACTCCAACATCATTAATCAACAGCAGCGTTTTAGCGGCTGAAAAAAATAAAAATAAAAAATAGCGGTTAATTAAATTATTTCAATATTTTATTTAAGTATTAGTGAAATAAAGTGAGGTTAGAGGTCTCAAGTTGTTTGAAAGTGAGCGCGTGCTGGAGAATATACATTTTAACAAACATACATATGTATTTATACACAAGAAATAATAAACACAATAAAACATATTTTTGTTATAACTCAGTTTTGTGGCAACCATTAAATTTTATGCAAAAAAAAAGTTTTTTTTTAACAAGAATATTCACATGAGTGTTGGGGTGGTTAAAAAGAAATCGATTATTTTTTCTATTTATACTCTGAAAAATTCTTTGCTAAAATAAAATTTAAAAACTTAAAATATAATATAAAAAAAATTAAAATTGTGCAAAAAAATATAAAAACATTAGAAAAATGATTTTAAAAAGTTTTTACTTGTAGCATGTATTGCAATTATTTTTAAAGATTTTTTTTTTTAAATGAGTTTATTTACTTATATTGTATATGGTTGACTTTTTTTTAATTAAACATTTTATGTATTGTATTTGTAATTAAATTTTTTGTATTAAAAAATTATTTATAAAAAAAGGGAAATTTGAAATGAATATATAAAAATAATTTAGATAAAATTTAAAAAATTAAAACAGAAATAAAAAAATAAAAAATATTTAAAAAATTTAAACGCCTCAAAACTATTATTCTAATATTAATAAAAGGTTCCTTCGCTTTTCAGTTTCCAATTTTTTCTTTATTATTGAAAAGAAAAGTTCATATCTCAGCTCATACGAGCATTAGGTTGGTTAAACAAAATTTTATTTTAACTTTTTGCTTTTTATTCTGAAAGATTGCTTGATAGACACTTTAAAAAGTATCTATTTCAATATTAATTGGATGGTACTCCGTTTCGGTTTCGCTTATTGGAAAGAAAAATTCATATCTCAGTATCTACTGTTGGAAAAAAAATATCTTATTTAATAAAATTTTCTTACAATTTAATTCTCTACAAAAATAGTCTCCCATAATTTTTTCGTTAACCTCACCGTTCAAAATGTTTTTTTTTTGTGAGCGAGTTATGAAATTCATGAACAATACTAAAATATGCCTTAATTTAATTAAACTTTAACCACCCTAATAAGTGTGTACATATATAGTATTAGCACACCCTATTCATTAAATATGAAATATAAATGTAAAAAATTTTTTGTTTGTTTCTCAAATAAATGATGACAAATCTAACAGTGAATTGACTCAGTGAAAAATGATTTATAGTCAATGCTCTTTTTGTGTCACACAAGTGCAAGCATATATACCGTAAATACAAATATGTTGTATTGGCAAACTCATTGCATACACTTTTCAATATATAAACATATATATGTAAGTAAGTGTACAGAAAAATATATAAAAATATCTACCTCCTGCGGTCAACTCACCAGAAATATAAATTTCGCACTTATTACTGCAACTGCTGCTAAAAATAGCACAGCATTATTTGTTATAACCTCACTTTTATGTGTTATTAAATAAAATATAATTACTGTTAAATTTGCTTTAATTTTATTTATAATGTTTTTATGTCACTTCTTACTTAATATTCATAAATTATATTTAATTTAGCCGTAACGCTTATTTTTCGAGCAATATTTTGATGCTTTGATACTTGCCTATATATAATATTTGCATAAGTATATACATATGTATGTACATATATGAATGTACACATATCTATGTACATATGTATGTACTACAGACGAGTGGCAACAGCGAGCTACATTGAAGCAAAAAGTTTATATGCTTAGCAGCAGTTTGAAGGTATCGGAAATAAAGCAAATCAACTTGCTTGGTACGAAGCTGAGTAGAAGTAGCCCTGATGGAAATGCTAGCACATTAGAACCAGTTTCATAATAAGCAAAAAAAAAAACAGCTTTAACAGCTTTAGAAATTTTTCGTGCTTCACTTGAAGATAATAGCAAACACAATGGTAAAAAAAGTTAGTACTAAATTTTAGTACAGAGTCAAACAGTACTAAATTGGATTCCGTAAAAAAATTATTGAGGGAAATAGTAAGTAGCATAAATAGTAAATAAATTTAGTACTAAATTTGAGCATACAGTCTAGTAGTACTACATTAAAGCACTGAACTTATTTAACTTTTGCAAGAGCTATAACGCACTTAGAAATTTTTAAAAATAAAATTTAGTACAACTTCAATAATATTAATAATAAATTTTAGTAGACATTAATTTGGTACTAAATTTTGTTTGGTAATTAACATTTATTTTGTATTAAATAGAATTATTAGTTTGCATGTTTTGCGTTGAGCATTTTTGGAACACTTAGTACCGGATTATCACTTAGCTGATAACCAGCGTTTACGCGTACTCAAACAATATTGAGTCAACAGAACTGAGAAGTACTAAATCTCATTTCTCTAACATAATATAGCGTATCCCGATCGCACTTATAAAACGCGAGTTACAGATACTAAGGGCATATACGGTACAAATAATGGATTAGTTTTACTAAACCTTAGATATACCTACATTCTTAGTGGTTTAGTCCTAATTTTTTCATATTTTTGGAATACAAAACTTAAATATATGTAGCCCTTACATATGTATATATATGCTATATAAATGTATATATAATAAAACAAAAGAAATAGCACTAAATTATATTCAGAATTTTGAAAACTAGTACTAAATAAAAAATTCCATTGAAATAAACTAGCTTAACTAAGTTGTTTTCACATAATCTTTACTTATCCAATCGAAATTCTAAATATCATAAATGCTATTAGTTTGCACTAAAACTGATTACATTAAGAACAACACTACTCATAACTTTTGAAAATATTTGAAACTACTACTAATTTCAACGATTTATTTTAAAAATAGACAATTTAAAACTATTAGTACTTGCTATACATTTGAAATCCTTACTTTCATAACTAGTACTAAATAGGGCGGTTTACATTTAAAAACCACTAACTTGCTTTATAGACAACAACTCACATAAGCTATTTGTTTAATTATTTTAAATAAATTTTTAGTACTAAATTTCAGAAATTTTTCATACAATTTTCATCATTCAGTTTAGTACTAAATATAGCTTTAACGCTTTCAAGTAGAGTATGCTATGTTTTAATATCCTAAGCTATGTTTAGTATTTATGGTAGAAATATTTGTGAGGAAAATCTGAAATGCTTTATACTTAATTTTTCAATTATAAATACTTACATGCTCTTTAAGTATTTTTAGATTTCCAAATATTTTAAAGTCAATTAAAATAATTAGTACTAACTTTGTTGTACTAAAAATGTCAATAGCTTCCAGCTAGTTCTAAAAATTACCATAACTTCGTGATAGTACTAAACCGATACAGTATCGCAGCTTTTTTTTCCTACAGGCCCTTTCACCATAATGCAACATTCATCAAGCCAGTGACAGCCAACAAATAAGGAAGGATAGTAAAAAATTGCTTCGAGCCAAATTCATAGTTTTTGTCCGATGAATGATGGCGCAAAGGAAACAGGAAGCATATGATGACTCTTAATTCTTATATAGGTAGCTCTCTAATGGCCGGTACGCTGTTGGTTTTCTGCACACGACTGCAGTAGCGATTACAGAACGATTGCAAGGCTTTGTTCGCTTAAGTTCACTGCTTGTTGTTTTTATTGCTTCGTTGCTTCTTCTTCATGTTGTTTTTTTTTTTTAATTTTGCTACGATAAGCATGAGCAATCGGTGGGAAGTACATAATAAGAGTAATAAAAGAATAAAAAAAAAGTATTGGCAAAACAAGTGCTTGCGATATGAACAAACGGCAATAAGACGATAATGCAAAAAAGAAGAAATGATATGTGTATGTTTGTATATACATATATAATACTTTTGTATGTATTATAAATATATGCATGGTCATTTGCGAGAAAGAATTGAACCACAGATGATAGCCGAAGTTAAGATATTCTTATAAATGTTTTTATGCACTTGTATATATATGTATATATGTATATTCCAGCATATAGTAATGTGCATATGTATATGTGTATATGCATATCAATCATAATCTGGCAACTACTGACAGCGCTTAAAACCAAATAAGCATTCATAGCGATTTAGTGACTTGTATGAATGATTAGCTGACGTTTGCCGCCAACCGCTCACATACCTCACATGTACTCCCAGGGTGGTCCAAAAAATAAATATAATTTTTTCCTTTAGATACGATGAAAATATTGTCAGAAATGATGAAAAAAAAAAATTCTGGTAAAGTTAGTATTAATTTTGATGATTTTAGATTTCCATTTCACACAAATATTTTTCCGATTTTGTTTGGATATTTAATGCTTTCGAACAAATTATTGCATAGTGAAAATGAAAACTTATTATTGTGGGGAAAATTTGTTGCTAAGTCAACCCGTTCAAAAGTTATGCGCGGTCAAATTCCAACCTCAATTTTTAAATTTTTGTAAAATTTTATCACAATATATCGCCTCAAAATCATAAAATGTCGCATTTTTATACCCTACACAGGATATATTAAGTTTGCCACGAAGTTTGTAAAACTCAGATGGAAACGTGACGAGCTGAGTTGATTTAGTCATATGTGTCTGTGGGTCTGTGTATACGCCAACTAATTCTTCAGTTTTTGAGCTATCGCTCTGAAATTTTGCACACATCATTTTCTAACCGAGCAGCTGCTCATTTGTGAGAACTGCTGGTATAGGATCACTATAGCATATAGCTGTCATACAAACTGATCGATCAAAATCAAAGATCAAAGAGATTAGACATTTTTCTATGTTATAAAATTAATGACTTTATTGCATTAATTATTTCAGATGGTATTTTTGCAGTATGTTAACATTATGTATGAAAAATAAATTAAACATGTTTTTTGACCCGTCCTAATGTACCGCTCTTCTAAGTGATTAGCTGTGTACTTATTAATATCCCCCCACATATGTATGTATATGAGTATATGATGTGCAATAGCAACA